TTTTTTTTTTTTTTATGAGAGAAAGATCACCTTTAATTGGCACCTGAAAGCATTCTGATCTACTAAAGCGAAGAGATTTTGGACAAACAGCAATGCTTGCTGCTCCTATACTGACCAATGAATAGATGCCGGGATTGGCCTTTTCAAGCTTGCACTTGCTGCCCTCCCAGAGCACCGGGGTAGGCCTTTTGCACAGAAAAGCAAAGTTAGAAACAAAAAACAGTAATAGATATAATCACATAAACATCTAAAACCATGTACAACAACAGCGCATAAACGGCATCAGAAGCCAAATGTCAAACTGGGAAAAACGTGTGTCATGTACAGCAAAGGATTAATATCTTTCACATATAAAATCTTCGTACCAATCAGTAGAAAAAGCTGACTGTCCTAGAAAAATAGGCCATGGACATAAACAGAAAATTTACAGAAGATATACAAAGGGACGATTGTATACTGAGGTAAGGGGTGGCAGCAGAATTGGGCGTCATCATAATGTGTATTATTCTGAAGGCAGTTTATAGGCTGAGATAAGTACCTTCAGGCTTTTGTTGTTGTTGTTGTTAATCCTCACCTGAGGATATTTTTTCCGTTGATTTTTTTAGAGAGAGGGGGAGAGACAGAGAGAGAGAAACATCAATGTGAGAGAGACACATCCATTGGTTGCCTCCCACAGGCCCTGACCTGGGCTGGGGATCGAGCCTGCAACCGAGGCGCATGCCCTTGACTGGGATGGAGCACAGGACCCTTCAGTCCATGGGCCGATGCTCTAACCAGAGCCAAACCGGCCAGGGCTACCTTCAGGCTTTTTCGTGCTGAGGTAAGCGGGGTCCAGCCCAGCCAAAAAAGCCACAGAGGGGAAGCCAGGGGCCACTGAGACTGCAGGGGGACAAGGTACAGACGTGAGGGAAAACAAACTCAGCTGGGATTGATTATTTAAAATTGGATTCAACTGACTCCAAATTAACATGCAAGCAGCTTATCAGAAACACATATCAACCCCTTGGACTGGAGTTCTAGGGAGGCTACAGAGAGCAAGTAGGGTTAAAGGCACATGCGAAGCCTCAGAGTTCTTCTGAGCCTGCCCTCACTGTGCATGTGCAGATCTGCTTGTAACTCCCAACCTTACTTGGTCCACTGATTTATTTTTTTAATCAAAATTGGCTGATTCTAGGCTAAGCCAGTTACTCACTTTGGGACCTTGGATACCAGGCTGTTGCTTCTGTAGTCTATAGAGAAAATGTGAGTTTCCCAGGTAACAATTAGGAAAATGCAGAGCCAATCCCACTAAGACAGTGACCCATTTCAAATGTAATTATTTCCTTCGCAAGGGAGTCAGGGACTATTGGAGCTTGGTTATTGAATAGCTCCTGGCTTATTTTGATTCTTTCCAGTCCGCCTCACTGAGGTAAGGGGTGGCTACGAAAGCAAGAATACCCTTTCCTCCCTGTGGAGGCCCCAGGGAAAGGGAGCTAGGAGGCTGCCTTGATGTCATGGGTGGTGGCAGCTATGAGGAAGAGAAGAAAAAAAAGTGGCCTGGCTGGTGTGGCTCAGTGGTTGAACGTCAACTTATGAACCAGGAGGTCATGGTTTGATTCCTGGTCTGGGCACATGCCCAGGTTTTGGGCATGATCTCCAGTGGGGGGCGTGCAGGAGGCAGCCGATCAATGACTCTCTCATCATTGATGTTTCTCTCTCTCTCCCTCTCCCTTCCTCTCTCTGATATCATTAAAAATATATTTTCAAAAAAGGAAAGAAAAGTGGGCCTCATGGGGAGGGGGGCGGTAATAAAAGCCCTAAAAAAGCAGAGTATGGGAAAGAAACAGCACCTTGGGCTGGAGCCAACAGCTCTGAGGTTATTAGCAGAAATGCCCTGGAATGGGGGTTTGCGTAATATTTGTGTGAACAGTCACGATCTTGAAAACCTGGCATTGCTCAGGGCCAGTGTTCTCTGCAGTTGTCACCCACCCACTAACACTTCAAGGCATCTCCGCACACCCCCTCCAACATCACTCCTCACCTGCATCTTCCTCTTCACCGTGTCGAAGGGAAAGGAGAGGGTCTGGGTCACCGCAGCAGCCAGGCAGACGTTGGCAAAGTTCTGGAGGAGAGAGAAGCGATCTCGGGGTCCATTCCAGATTTTCTCCAGGTTCATGTAAACTAGAAGAGAGCCAGCAGAGAAAGGAAGAGCACCTGCAAAACAAGGCCAGGAGGAGGCTGCTGAAGTCCAGGGAAATATTGGCTTGGGAACATAAATGCCTGTGGGGAATCCAGGGCAAGGAAACAGGACCCTCTCTGGGCTTGTTAAACTCACTCCAACCGAAGCAGCAGGAAGGAACTCTCTTGGGCGATGATAACCTGCTCTATTTTGATAGGGGCTGTGTCATTTGTCAAAGTGCATGAAATGGTTTGCAAAGGGTTTGAGCACTTTACTGTATTAAATTTTACTTTAAAAAGAACCATAGCCCGGCTAGTGTTGCTCAGTGGTTGAGCGTTGACCCATGCACCAAGAGGTTGCCGGTTTGATTCCTGGTCAGGGCACAAGCCTGAGTTGCAGGCTCGATCCCCGGGTGCGGTGTGTGCAGGAGGCAGCTGATCAATGATTCTCTCATCAATCTTTCCATCTCTCCCTTTCCTTCCCTCTCTCTCTCTAAAATCAATAAAAACATTAAAAAACAGTTAAAAAAAGAACCAGAAACAAATATTGAAGTCTAATCTAGTTCGTGATACATGTATGGAAGGGTTGAGGGGTAAAGTGTATTGATGTTTGCAACTTATATGCAAATCATCAAAAAATATATAGGATGGACTGATGAATTGCTAGACGGATGGACAGATGGACAGATATGTGATAAAGCAAAATGTTAATTGTAGCACCTAGGTGGTGGGTATATGGGTGCATCTAATTCTTTTAACTTTTCTGTTTGTTTGAAATTGTAAAAAAGAAAATATTGGAAGAAAATCACTCTCATAAGAAAAAGTTAGTGGCTGCCCTTAATCAACGTTTGGAGGCCAGGAGGGACTGGTTTCTAGCTGAGAAAGAAACATTCTATGAAAACTGGAAAGTGAGACTGGAGTGGTGAGGGAGATTACCTGACCTTGCCTTTGGAACTGATGTCATGGCATCATGACCTTTCTGGGAAAATATGGTGAGCAAGGAGTGCAGTAGGTGGTACATTCACAAACTTCCAGAAACTTTGGGAACCATTTGAATTTTACAGAAGGACTACATTTCTTCCTCAAAAAGGGATTTAAAAGGGGATAACACAGTGAGGTTGATTGTCCTTAGAATAGTATAATATTTATATTTAATAAACACATTAAAAATGATGTACCAGTCCTGGCAGGGTGGCTCAGTTGGTTGGAGTGTCGTCCTGTACACCAAAAGGTCACTGGTTTGATTCCAAGTCAGGGCATGTGCCCAGGTTGTGGGTTTGATCCCCAGTTGGGAGGGTACTGGAGGCAACCAATTGATGTTTCTCACATTGATCTCTCTCTCCCCTTTCCTCTCTCTCTCTAAAAATCAATAAACATATCCTCAGGCGAGGGTTTAAAATAAAATTAAAAAAAAAAAGATGTCCCAATCTTCCATTTACCTTCATTCAGAAAACATTTGTGGAGCTTATGTTATGTGCTAGGACCTATGTTATATGCTAGAACCTTTTATTCCTTCAGGAATACAAAGAAGAGTAGGCTAATTCCTGGAGAAGCTCACCATCTAGTGGTGAGACAGCTGATAGGTGCCATAAGGGTGGGGTGGCGGTGGCGCTATACAAAGTGCTTTATGTACACAGGGATCAGAGGAGTTAATTTTGCCTGGGGGAATCAGGAAGGACTTCACAGAAGAGAGAGCTTCTCAACTGGGTCTTGAGGAATGAGTAGGAGTTTATCAGACATAGAGTAGACAGGCAGTCCAGGCAGAGGGAACAGCATGTACAAAGGGAGCGGTATTTTCAGGAAATGCAAGTATTTCTGTATGACTGGAGTATCAGTGCAGGTGGAGGGGTGACAGGAGAGGAGGTAAGCCGGGCTGTTCTGAAGGATCTGGTAGGCTATAAAGAAATAGGGCTTTTCCCCGTAGATCAGGAGGCAGTGAAGGCTTTTGGGGAGGGCAGTGGAGTGAGGGTGGTGAACCGATCATCTTGCATTAAAGAGATCACCACACCCTGGCCGCAGTGCACAGGGCAGACAGAGGGACTGAAGACTGGGAGCAGGTAGGAGGAGCTTTTTGTAGGTGTCTTATGGGAAAGATGTTGATGAGAGTGCGATCTAGGGCAGAGGAGATGGGGATGGAGAAGGGGGATAAACTTGACAGTTCAAAGAGGTACGTGATGACTAAAGTGAGAGTGGAGTGAGAGGAAGAGTTGAAGTTAATCTAGGTTTCTTCTGGCTTGGGCCACTGGGTGAAAGAAAGGCATCGCATTCATTGGGAAACACAGAAGGACATCAGCTTTAGTCTTGAGTTTGATGTGCCAAGGGAGCATCGGGTGGGGGTGCCCAATATCAGGTATTCGCACTGCCCCTGGAAATTGGTAGCAGTCAGTGGTTAAGAGAGAGGGCTCTGGGGCTATATTGCTAGGATCTTCCACTTTCTATCCATGTGACCATGGGCAGGTCACTTAGCTTCCCTCTATTAGCATCTATTTCCTCTTCTGTAAAATGAGGCTTAAATGAGAAACTGTATGCAAAGCATTTAGCACACTGCCTGGCACACAGTAAGCACCAATAAATGTTACTATAGAGATGATATTGGGGGTCACTAGAGTACAATGATGCTTGTTCAAGCCACTAGCTTAGATGAGGCTACTAGGGAGGGTGTGAAGGGTGAAAGAAAAGTTAAGGAAGGAGCTGGGGGACTAGCGATATGTAGGGGGCTGGCAGTGTCAGATGAGCCAGATGAGTCAGATAAGAAAGAGCTGCCAGACAGGTAGGAAAGACATCCCGGAGACAGTAGGGTCCTAGAAGCCAAGTTTCCAGAAGAAAAGGTGATCAATCTCATCAAATGTTGCAAAAAAGGTCAGATAAAGGGCAAAAGTCTGCTGGATTAGCCATTAGGTGTCCCAGGTGACCTGTGTGTGTAGCCCTGGCAGAAGCTCCAAAGACCACAGAAGTTACCACTGCTACCCTGGTGGTTCTCATCTGTGCATGTGTGCACACTAAGACTCCTTCCCACAGTTGGATGAGGAGTGTGTGAGATTGTCTTCCTACCATTTTTTTTTTTTTTAGATTGTCTTCCTATCATTTTGTGCAGAGCCACCTCCACGCTCTATCATCCATCTTTCTCTAGGATGTGACAGGTCAAAGTTATGAGTGGGGTGTATGGCTGTGGAATAGAATGAAGCTAAGTGGCCCTATATGGACTGTGTCCATATGACCCTGACCTCAATAAAATGGATTTAATTAGTTACAAAGGTATACATTCATATATGTCAAAGAATTCAGCTTTTCCTTGGACAAGGCGAAAATTTCCATCTTACCTAAAACTGTAAGGGAAACCCCTCGATAAAGGGCAAAGAATCCTTCCTGTTGATAAACAGTAGAAAATGCATGGAGGATCCCCCGGTAAGATGGTTCCAGCATATTCTGCACAATCAAGCGCGTTTTGATGAGGTCTGTAGGATATGTTACAATGGTGGAGACCATGCCTGCGAGACTTCCAGCCATGATGGCACTCCACTGGGAAATGTGGCCCAAGTCATCCATGAAGAGTATGACAAACCTGGGAGAAAACAGGGGGAGAAGCCCAAGGGAATCAGCTATGGATTGTGCTAGAGTGGCCTACACTACTTGCACATCTTCCAGCATTTGGACATGCTTTACAAAGTGAAAACTACCATACTAATGAATTAGGATTAATGAGTAACACATTCAACTCTACTATGTTTATATAATTCTAGTTAGCTATAAGGAAAAGATGCCCGACCCTCTTATTTATAGCTACCCTAAGTTCTTCCCACTTCACTTTAAGCATTTCTTCCTTTTATCCAAATAAATGTCAACTCTGGCTTGCCTGTGGGGTGTAAATTTGCAGAAGTACTTGGTAAATACCAAACTGTAATGTATTCCTTTGCTTCTGTTGAAACTTAAATGAAACTGCTTGAAATGATGACTTTGAGCATCCCCAGTAAATGAGTTTTAAAAATATATTAGCTGGCCCAGCTGGTGTGGCTCAGTGGTTAAGCATTGCCCCATGAACCGGGAGGTCAAGGTTCAATTCCCAGTCAGGGCACATGCCCAGGGTTGAGGGCTCAATCCCTAGTAGGGGGAGTGCAGGAGGCAGCCGATCAATAACTCTCTCTCATCACTGATGTTTCCATCTCTCTCCCTCTCCCTTCCTCTTTCTGAAATCAATAAAAACATTAATATATATATATTAATTAAAAGAGAAGATGTGCCATCCCACTAGTTGTCAGGGAAATGACAAATAAGAACAATAACAAGATACCATTTCTCACCTAGCAGATTAGCAAGGATTAAAAGGTCTGACAATATCAAGTGATGATGAGGATGAATGGAAACAGGACCTCTCACCCACTGCTTATAGAAGTACAAACTGGTATGGCCACCGTGTAGTGTCTAGTACCACTGAAAGCATGACTACTTTCACTCCAGCATTTCCATTTCTACGTGCATATCCTGGGGAAATTCTTGCACATGTACATATGAAGACACATACATCATTGTTTGTAAGCGTGAGTCAAACCACCATACAATGGACGCTACATAGTTTAAATGAATAAGCTTAGAACTATGTAATAACAAACAAATCATAAAGTTGAGTGAAAAAGCAAGTTGTGGAGTGACAATTGTCATTGTCTACGACAATGATCTATTTATATTAAGAAACACCCACAAAATCATACCTTATATTTTTCATGGATAGATATAGATACATATAAAAAAGTGTAGAATAGACCTTTGGGAAGGTGGAAGAGGGGATGGACTGAGAGAGAGAATGAAGAGGAGGACTGCAGCTTGAGCTATAACATTTTATTTCTTGTATTAAAAAAGATATTTGAAGTATCTTTTATACTAACTATCATGCTGTCAATTCTGGATGGTGGGTGTTTGCTGGATTATTTTTCGTGTTTCTCTGCAGTTTTACAATGCAGTCAAAGATGGCTTTGGGTGGACTTTTCTAAATGCAAAATAGAATGCCATTCTGTTACAATTCCTCTTCTTGGAAGCAGCACCCCCCCAGGTATGAGGGCCTACCTAAGCACAAATTGTTACAAGGGAATGTTTACCCTACACGTTCCCTGGTCAGGAACAAAGGGATTTTACTTCACCTTGCAGATGAAGATAAAATAAAAAAGGACTTGGAAACCAGGGGGAAAATTTTTTCTGCCAGAGAGTGGGGAGGGAGAGAGGGAGAGGGATAGCAAGGGTTTGAATAAAAGGAAAGTGAACAGAGCTCGGCTAAAATAAAAGTTTTGTAGAATATCCCTAGCGTTTTGGCTTGCAAGCCTCCAGTGAGGAGGTTTCTTTCCTGCTCCTTCAGTTTGGCAGCACACCAGGGCCCTAAATGAGTGGGTGTTCAGGTGCAGTTATTTAAGGGGTTCTAGGATGGCTCCTTGCTCCCAAGGAAACACTCATTGATAAAAAAAACTCATCTCCTTCAAGCTGTAGGAAAATCTTGACTTCATTTTGTTAATGTACTTTAACTGTACCAACTGAAAGTCATCTGAGTTAACCGGCTACCTTTTCAAGATGCATGTGACGAAATCTGGCAATCACTAATGGGTCATTTGCTTCAGTTTCACTGCCTGCACACTTCCTTGTTTCCTCTCTCCTCCTCTCTCCTCTGGCCAGTCAAGTTGGGGGGTGGGGGGTGTAACCTTAGAAGGGGAAGGGGAGATTGAGGAAATGAAAATGCTTGGCTGGAAGAGTGGGCCGCAGCAAACTGGAACAACCTGAAGATGGCTTTAGAAATGCCACAAGAAACAGCCTTCATTCTCATTGCCTCACCCGTATTCCCTATTCCACCTGGCACTTCCAGGGCACTAACTAATTCATTACCCATTTACTGAATATCTACAATGTGCCAGACACTGTGCTAACACTCAGCATTGGTCATAAGAGAGTTTAACAGTCCTGCTAAAGAAATGACTAATAAGGGCAACAAGAGAGGAACTAAGCTTTTGGTTGAATGAACTTGATGAACTAAACCCTGTCTTCTACCAGATTGCCTTATAAAGTGAGGTCTTACTATCAAATACACAAAATTCAAAAGAACACAAAGACAGTCCCTTCTCAGACTCTGACCATCTGACACAGAGGCAATGACCACTAACCGTTCCCCTTAGAATCAGAGAGTCAAGGCAGGCAACCCTAATAGGCCATCGATAATGTCATCCTTATTCCCACATCTTAAGCTCCTGTCTGATTGGCCAGGGCACCAGTGTTCCCCTTTTTGCTCTTTCCCCCACCCCCACACACATGCACAGCTTTTGCCAATGAGGCTGAATAAGCTGGTGAACAGCAGTAAACCCTTCTTTTCAGCCACATGAATATTACACACACACTGGATCTATGTAGTTAGAACTGGCAGCACTTCAACCTAATCCACCTGAGCCACCAAACACATGCTCATGAAGTGGTTATGAACTTGGTGCTGGTTATGAACAATTTCAGAGCTGCAGGGACCCAAACCAATGCTTACACAGACAGACAAGCAGCTGCGGTATAAAGTTGGGTGAGGGGGTATTATTTGATGTATTTGAAAGCCATCTATTGTGTTAAGTATTATTTACTTATTACAAGTACCTAGCTCCTAATAGACTCTCCTGAGTGGACTTTTTTGATAATTAACCCAAGTAAGGGGACATTTCAGCATCACAGCGGTGGGCAGAGTCCTGGACTGTGGAGAAGACCTGGTTTCAAGCTCTAGGTCTGTCATTAATTGTGTTTGTGGACAAGTTATTTGACCACTCCATTCTCTGAATATTTGGGATGTTTATGCTTTGCTAAATCCATGATCATAGGCTGTACCATTACCCCCAGCCAACTATTTTGCAAATTCATGGTCAGGAGAGAGTAGAGGTGAATCGGTATAATGATGGACCAAAGAGCCCAGTTGGTATGGCTCAGTGGTTGAGCGTGGAGGATCTAGGAACCAAGAGGTTCGATTCCCAGTCAGGGCACATACCTGGGTTGCAGGCTCTATCCCCAGTAGGGGGCATGCAGGAGGCAGCTGATCAATGATATTTCTATCTCGCTGATGTTACTATCTCTATCCCTCTACCTTCCTCTTTCTCTAAAAATCAATAAAAGAAAAACAAAAACAAAACCATCTATATCTATATCTATCTATACCTATATATCTACATCTATAAATCCTCACCCAAGGATACTTTTTTCATTGCTTTTCTGAGAGAGTGGAAGGGAGAGAGAGAGAGAGAGAGAGAGAGAGAGAGAGAGAGAGAGAGCGCAATTTGTTGTTCCATTTATTTATGCATTCATTGATTGGTTTTATATGTGCCCTGAATAGAGATAAACCCGTAACCTTGGCATATTGGGACGATGCTCTAACCAACTGAGCTACCCAGCCAGGGCCCTATTTTGTTGTTTTGCATGCAATTTTAAATTGGGTCAATTTAATTTTGTTTCAGAAATTCTGTTGTTAGTATATAAAAATGGTACTGATATTTGAACATTAATTTTGTATCCTGCAACGTCATTGACTTCATTGACTAGATCTAACAGATTGAGGAAGAGTCCTTATAATTTTCTACATATCATCTTCAAATAGAGACAATTTACTTCTTCCTTTCCAATTCTAATACCTTTTATTCCTTTGTCTTGCCTGATTGCTCTAGCTAGAATTTCCAGAATTATGCTGAATAGGAATGAAGAGAATAGGTACACTTGTCTTTCCTGATCAACATCACTAGTCATTAAGAAAATACAAATTAAAACCACAATGAGATAGACCTTCAAACTTGTTAGAATGGCCTTTATGAGAAAGAGATAACAATGCTGGAGNGCTGAAACTGAGGTACGTGCCCTTGGCCGGAATCAAACCCAGGACCCTTCGTCCGCACTCTGACACTCTAACCAGTGAGCCAAACCGGCTAGGGCCAAAACCATATTTTAATGATGGATCAAAGGTATCATCTTTATGTAGGAAGGATGACATCATGATTAATCAACCATTTTGCTCTCTACCTATGCCTAGCCATTTGCTGAAATACTACCTTTTAGTTTCCAGAAAGAAAATAATCTTGCAGGGGAAAAGATTATTAGCAAACCAAGCCCAGGTAACTCTCTCTTCTTCCTCTCCCATGCATCAAATCTCTTCCACTCCCACGGTCACCAGTCTATTTATTTCGGGTGCCCTCAGCTGCCACATGGACTAATGCAATAGGTTCCTAACTGGTCCTCCACCCCCCCCTTCCAGGTGGCAATTATTCCTGTTGAATTGCTTTAATCACAGCACTTCACCCTCAAAAGTCTCCCACAGTCACCCTTGAGTACCAAGTAAAGTCCAAGCTCCTTAACCTGGCCCTCCATCTGATTCTAACCTGCTTTTCTGGATGTATTTCCCATTACTGCTGTAGACACACCTTATGCTCCAGTCATGCTGCATGCCTTCCCACCCCTGTGTTTTTGCTCATGACATTGCCTGCAACACCTTTCTCCCCATCTTTGCCAAGCAACTCCTACTCATTCGCCTAAGACCAAACTCAGATGGTTTTTCTCCTCTGTGAGGTCTTCCATCTCTTCCTTCTCATCCTTCATCAGAAGTGTTTATTTTTATAGTACTTCAACCACGGCCATCACACGCTATGGACATACTAGTCTTATTCTTCTATAGCTTTCCAGTTCTGGGGCACAGAGACCATGGCCCTTTCATCCTTGCCTCATCCCCAGCAGCATGCATACAGTGGGTACTTAATGAAGACTCATTAAATTAGA